TGTAGTCAACTACGAAACCCTCACTAGGTGGCAACACCACATTGAGCTGTCAGCTCGCAGCAACCACAGCCAACATCAACGGCCGTATTCAGTTTTTTACACATTCATTCGCCCACCAAACCGAGAGAAGACACAAGCTTTAGCATTTTAGCCTAGCCTCTTTAGTCTAGCCATTTTAGTCTAGTTATCGTGTATTTTACTTCGTCTTTAAATGTAACCAGTTCATTGTTGTATTGCTTAATTATACTTTAAATCAAAAATAAATAAGCGTTTTTGTTGCAAGCCGGTACGACGTCCATAACAAGAATGGACTTCCGGTTAAAATAATGGAACTCGATTTGGTTGTTTGCACGGTATGAATAACAATTTTTAACCACTGGAATTTCCAAATATCTTCGGTCGAAATGCTTGAAAAATTTACCTGCTTAATGTGCAAAGAATGTTTCTACTTCTGGGTATTCATTTTTCTCAAACTTAAAGGATTTTATATGTTTTCCAAAGCTATACGCTTTTTACCTTAAATCAAAGATCCCTTTCGTCAAGGACAGGTTTGTCATGGAAGCCGAATGACCCTCCAATAGTTATGGTGGGCATCTGGATCTATTTATATTGAAGTTTTTTCATCATTAAAATAGCGTTTTCAATTTTTGTAAAATGCTAAAAACGCATTTTCGTGCCATAGAGTGGGCTGTGGTTTAGCGATTTATTTCTTCGCCTTAAGTACCACAACTGTGTTTAAAAATTTATTGTGAACTTTTATTTGTAACAGAGAAATTCAAATACATTTCAAGTTTTACGGTAAATCATGCTGTTTCTAGTAGCTAACCTTTGGATATGTCGTTTGCACCACTCTTTTGGGGTTTGTATAGGGCAACCAAGCTTATTATTTCCATAGTCGTTGGGAATTTTAAAGGAATAAGAAGCATTGCATATATTCTGCTGTCTGATTACTTCAGCAGTTATTTAGCTACCTTTCAAGCCACAAAAATTCATTCGTGTTATATTTTCGGGCTCTTCTTCGCATAGTTCAATGCCAAGGGATATTTTCGGCCATAATATAACATGGAAAAATAATAAAACGATTTTATTATAAAAATAGCTTATATATCTTTAAGTTCTGTTATTGTTTGTAATAACGGTAGATAAAATTACAAACGTAATTATTAAACGTACACGTAAAATAAACGTAACGTAAAGTAAACGTAAAATTACAAACGTAAAAATTACCATTCCATTATATAGTGGCGCAAACAATCAGAACCATCAATAGCGTATGTTTAAATGAAGTGTTCAATTTTGGTGGTATCTACTGTTGTCTTCACTACTAATCGATTAATAATAACTGCGTCTTTATTTTACTTTGAATTCGAGTTTTCGCGGCTGAATTTAATTGACTTAGATAGAATCAAATTACACCGGAAGAGTGAAATTTGGCGAGCTTAATTTTAAACGAATTTCATGCCGAACTTTTTATAGCCAATGGTGTTAAGTTCACTAACTGGTTGACTGGTTTGACAAGGTTTAGACATTTCGGACCATAATTTACAAATTCGTCCGTTTTGAATCAAAAAAAAAAAAGAAAAACAAGTCGAGAAGTCGTATTCGTCTTCTTCTTATTTAGCGCTGTAGCCGCCTAAGCGATTTTGGTCGAGATCGTTTCTCTCCTGTGTCAACTGATGCCAATTGGAAATGCCAAGTGAAGCCAATTCCTTCTCCCCTTGGTTTTTCCATCGCAGTGTGGGCCTCCCTCTTCCTCTGCTACCACCAGTGGGTTCCGAGTTGAATACTTTCAAAGCTGGAGCATCGTTGTCCGTTCGAACGACATGGCCAAGCTAGCGGAGCCGCTGTATTTTAATTCACTGCATTTTGCCTATGTCGTTGTAAAGCTCGTACTCGCCGTTGCCAACGCGTAAATGCTGGTTTCTAAATAAGGCAGAACAGGTTTTGAGGTTTTTGTCGATGTCGATGAAACATTGATTGTTCGAATATGGTATAAACCGGATTTTTTAATCGAACAAACCAGTTTTTTCTTTTCATACAAATCTTGACTTTTTAATAGAAGGTTCGAGTTTTTCTTATTTGGGGATGAATAGTATGTCATATTTGATTCAAATAAATGAATGTTTGGCGCTAAACCGTTTTCTACGTGTTTGGCCGAGCTTCTCCAATTAGACTTCTGCTTTTTGATGCTATGACACAAATAGGGTATTTTCCAAGATTTAGCGTAAACTGAATACCTGATCTATGGTGGATTTACCAGGTTTGAAGCCACACTGATAAGGCCCAATCAGTTCGTTGCCGGTATCTCACACAATACATTCGATAAGACCTTGTATGCTATGCTTAGAAGGCTGATCCCGCGGTACTTGGCACGAATGGTGGGGTCGCCTTTCCTGTGGCTTGGGTAGAGCACACTTAAATTCCAGTCGTCGGGAATGCGTTCATTTGACCATATTCTGCATAAGAGTTTATGCATGCACCTTATCAGCTCCTCGCCGTCGTACTTGAATAGCTCAGCTGGCAGGCTGTCAGCTCCAGCAGCTTTGTTGTTTTTCAAAAGCGCTAATGCTATTCGTACCTCGTCATAGTCAGGTGGTGGAACATCGACTCCGTCATCATCGACTGAGGGCTCGGGTTTAATTTCACCATAGCTTTCAGTGCTGCTACCAATCAGTAGGGTGGAAAAGTGTTCCATCCATAATTTAAGTAGGTTCTGGACATCAGTCACTACCTTCCGCAAGTCGCCTAACCCTCTGGTCATATTTTCGCACATTTTTTCTGTCCGCCAGCATTTTAAGCTCTTCGCACTCAGGTATTTCGACCTCTCTCTTCTTTTTGCGGCAAATACGCCTCGCCTCCCTCTTCAGCTCCATATACTGGTCCCACATAGCTCATTCTTATGGTTATTACCTTGGAGTTAATTTACGCCGAAGTTCCCGTATTTCTGAAATTTACCATTGATGTCGGTGTAATTTTAGTCCGATTTCAAATATTTTTAACGTCTTGCTTTTATGTGTCATGGACAATAATTATACAGAGTTTGGTACAAATTGATAAAGCGGGGTTACCGAGATACGCATACGTATTTTTCACCCATTTTCGAAAAATATTCAATAAGCGTATTTCTTGCTAAAAAATTATTGCAAACATCAATTTTGAATCAATTCTCTTCAGCAGTTTATGATTTATCGAAGATTTCGTATTTCTCTAAATTCACGTTATATGGGATGTGGGCGTGGTTGTTGTATAATTTTAAAAATTTTCAACCGTTAGGAACCATTTACCTAGACCAAAAACTGTGCCAAGTTTGGGAGAAATTTGGTGAAGCAGTTACCGAGATATATGTAAACATGCAATCATAAGTGGGTGGGGCCATGCCCATTTTCCAAAAATTTATAATCTTATTTTCCGCCATAGCTTCAGGACTACCGATACATGTTCCAAGCTTCGTTAAGATATTTTCATTTTTTCTCGAGTTATCGCGTGCACAGACGGACGGACGCACGAACGGACACACAGTCACACCTTAATCGATTTCTCTTTTCATTCTGAGCATTTATGTAGATACATAGATATACATTTGTCTATAACTCTACCGATTCCTTTAGTCTATTACAAACAACCGCAATAACAATAAAGCATTTGCATAAAAAATGTATTGATCTCAGTGGATTTTTAGGAAATTGGAGGAAAGTGTTAGTTAACTGACTAAAACGATCACCATAGGTGTATAGTTAGCTTTAAGTTTTTCCCAACAGCTGGAAACGTCTGACAAAACTGTTGCGCATTATAAACCCCACAATTTATTTCGTTTCAGCATAAAAATGTTAATACACTAAGGGCCGTTTTCTCAAGTAGGTTTTAAAATTTAACTGCCCTTTAAATGATCACTTTGTTCTGAAAAATGTGTTAAATATGTATGTGTAAATTTAAAATTATACTTGAGAAAACGGCACTAAGTGGATTTCATTTGAAACAGCTTGCACAAATATACCGTACTCATGCAAACCTCTGCTTATACATATGTATGTATGTGTATGCAGTGCAGTGTGTCAAAGTGTATGCAGTAGAACATGCGTCAAATGAGTTTTGATCAAAGCAATCAACAGGTGGGTTCTTTGTGCGACTAACAGCTTGCTTTTGGTATTTTTTGTAAAGTCTAATATGTGGGTAATTTCCAAACAAAGTGTACATAAATAGCAAGTATTTTTTATTTTATTTTATTTTTTTTTTTAAGAGTGGCAAATTTATCATCTGCAGAACACGAAACTGCTTTCAGGCTACTTCAAAAACTAATTTCTTTTTCTTATTTTTGCATTTTTATAAAATATTTTCCAGAATGTCACTTTTTCAGTAAATAAGCTCTGAAGGAATAAATAAGTTTAGAAACTGTTCGAAAAAAGTATACTTACCGATAAGCATTGTACTGTTTTTTTACCATTAAATGCATGCTTTTTAAGCTTTTAGCTTTTTAAGCTAATGTTGAAGCTTTTTACACATCCTTCATGACATTTTTCAAGGAAATCATTGAAACTCCTTAAGCAATAAACTTATATTGGGAATTATCTTATATTTAGTTTCTTTTCACATAAATAACTGGAAGACATTCAGGAAATATTTAGCCGTCCTTACCATGGTGCAGTGATAGATTCACTTAAAAACACAAAATAATTACTTTTATTAAGTTATTTCTTATGTCATTCGATCAAGAACTTCTTGCGCTTCTTAACTGTAATGCACTTAGGCAAGCAAAACAAATAATTTAAATATTACGGCAAATTTAAAAAAAAGTGACATTCAGGAAACTTCGGAGGGGCAATATTATAATAGCAAACCACGCTTATCAGGCAGGTTTTGCAAATCACTTCCGAATGAATTTGAACCAAATTCACTTTGAATTCATATTAACAAGTGTTGAAACTCACGCGGAAGTGGAATAGCATAAAACAATAAAAGTTAAGTTGGTCATTCACAAACAGTTGCGCCATTTTTTCATTGTTTTTCTTTTTTTGTTTAAACTTTTTTTCATATTGATTATCGAATAACCTGAGCGGGGACAAATATTTTTACATATATGGAGCTGGTAAAATATATCAAACAGATACCGTTCGCAAAAGAAAACAAAACGGCTTACAATAATGAAAAAAACAGCTTTTTTGATGGATCGCGTGATGCTGTTTTTTTATTTTTCGTTTTTTCGTGGTCCAAATATATGGGAAAAATGGTTACATTAACACTGCGATGTAATTTTACCTGACCACCTCTGGTCCATCGCTGTATAACAGAGGACCACCTACACCTACACAACTTTCCCGTTTGGAAATGCGTAATTTACATAAAATAAAGTTTCTTAAAATTCGATGTAATAATATTTACATTCCGCAACCGATTCAAATTTCCGATTTACTGCGAAGAGGTGACGTTCAACATATACTTGAACTTTTTACGTCTGAAGTGGTCCAAGTCAGTTAAATAAGTTACTAAATATTTATCTTATATGAAACCTGGTCCATTTGCTCATATCGCACATTTGCTTGAAGAGCGTCAAAATCCAAATAAAAAAAAAACAAAAAATAGTTAAGTATGCAGAAAATACCGCTGCCTCTACTTCTAACTCGTTGTGCAAAAATATCATACTTGAATCGATTATCAGTATCTCGCTTGAACAAAATATGTATTCATTTATACTATGGGAGGTTATGTAAATTCAAAACTTTAAAGCCGTTTCCCCTATTTTTTTGATATTTTTAATTATAACACTCTTGCAGGAAATGTGCGTTATGTACTTTAAAATGATTTCCCACTGGACCAACTGGTCCTCAAATTTTTTGCAGGATATGTTTGTGCATACATATGTATGTATATTCGTATCTACTGAATATATATATATGTATGTATGTACATATGAATGTACACTAACTTACTTGTGTCCCAGTTCATGTGCGATTGTATGTGACAGCATAATACCATTATCCTCGTTGACGCTGCAGGACTGCTTCGGCTTGCACATGCCACCCACATTAGCCAATCCGAGAGTCCTGGAAGTGACAAATGGGTTTCTTAAAACACAATACACAAAAAAGGTAGCTAGTAGTATTCAAGCCACTCTTACATGCAATTGTTACCGCATATATTCGTCCTTGTTATGAGAATGGCAACATCGTGATGATATGTATCGTCTTTATTGACTGTATTCAGTTTGTGCTGCCAGCTGGTGGATTGGGGAAAGTTAGTGAAATCGAAACAAAATTTGGATGAGAGTTGTATTGATCATATCGCACGTTTAATAATATATATGTATATCGTTACATTAATTCACAAAGTTCTAGTTCTGGCGCGAAACATCTCTTAGTCCCGGTGCTAACATTGCAACACTCATTTTACGTTAATAAAAATAATAATAGGATTGCTCTAGCGATGCGTTTCGATAACTTTTCGGATGCGTTTTGGAAAAGTATACATTGTCAATATTTTGTAGTTCGGCCTAATGGAATATTATATTTTGTGGGTATGCAAAGCAATTGACGTATCATAAGCGCAGTGCATCGGCGCAACGAGTTAACAAACTTTTGTGAGTGATATCTCACAAACATATGTACATTTTTACATACAAAGTATTTACATTGTGAATGCACATGCTACTCTCCTGTAGCTAATAACGTCTAGACTTAAAATTGCGTTTATCTTATCACATCCACTCGATCACTAAACAAAATGTAAAGCACCACCAACGCCACACGGATTACAAACGGAAAACGAGCCTTATCCATGCATAAATATGTATGCTCACATACACATCGCTCATTTACTAAAAGGTTGTTGCAACTCAACTAAAACGAAAATTTTCAGGAGACGCGTTTAAAGTTTTCAATTTGCTCCCAAAATGTAAAAAAAGGAGAGGTATGTATGAATACAGTCTTCTTACGCGCAAACTACACAAAATCTTGGCACAAAATTTGTACAGAATATGAAGCATGTTGTAACAAGTTCAATTCTGCATCATTTCCTCAAAAATTTGTTTTTCGAGTTATGGCATTTTTTTTATTAAACGAGCGATATGTAAATACATACATATATAAGTAGGAGAAATAAGAAAAAAAAAAATCAACTGGCGCCTACAAAGTCAACAGAGAACAATCTGCGAGAAAGTGGGAGCCACAGAGCCGTATGCAAATCTTATGTGCCTGCAAGCAATCTAGCAACAACGCCAACTACATATGTATGTGGATATGTATACCCACACTCACGATTACGTTTGCATATGCCTATGTACATACACGTATGCATACATACATATGTACACGTTTTTTTCATATGCACATCGGCCCAAAGCGTCAGAGGCTAGCCGGAAACATCGGGCATACATACATACATAACGTCGCGCCTAAGTAATCGTTAAGCAATAACTCACCTACAAAATGTATCCAAATTCTTTTGGGCATTTTGTGTCAGATTAAGATCTGGATGCGCTTCGTACTCTTCCAGCAAAATCATTTTGACGACGACAATCTCAATTGAATTGCCAATGCTGGGATCCTTGTACAGCGCCGATACCATATTCATTATGGTTAGTAGATATGTCTCCAATTTGTGATGAAAGGCGACCATCGTTGCATCTGCCACTATTAACGCTTCCACATGACGTGGGCTGCTAATTGAACGTTTTGTGCGTTTTCCGTTTCCCATATTTAAACTTTGTTTATTGTCGTCGTCTCTATTGTTGTTGTTGTTCTGAACGTTGGCGGCAATGTTGTTGGTGCTTGTTGTGGCGGCCTCACTATTTTGCTTAACGAAGTGAGAGGGAATGAAGAAATCAGTTTTGTTGCCGCCGCTGATCGCTTTAATCTCATCTGTTGCAGTCTCATATTTGAATTCCATTTCTGCATTCGGCGGTGATTGCTGCGATGGCGGTTCAGATAGTTGATGATACTTCCGATGACGTCGCTTTAGCATATTTTGCAATGAGTTTTTATGTTGTTGTCGTTGTTGCTGATGATGTTCATGTTTATGGAGATGTCGGTGTCGATGCTGATGTTTTATTCTTTGGTGTACATTTTGTTGTCGCAATTTTCTACCACCTTGAATTTTGACCTGAACAAATATATGTAAATATGGCGGTATATCGCCGATTAAAGTACAAAACCGCGTAACTGTAATTTTTTTCCAAAAATTGGATTTTCTCACCGAAGCCTTTCTCACTCAAGCCTTATTTATACGTCCCGAAATATACTAACCAGAAAAGCGATTGCTTTATAAAAGAAAGAACCATTTTGAAATAGGAGCGTTTTTACTCGCTACAAAATAATTTATGCAACCTTACATACGCGGTTTTGTACTTTAAATGACGATATATATTTTGCAATTTAATGGTGATTTCGTTTCTTCCAAAAAATGTTGCCCAAATTTTTTGCTAGGAACGAAATCACCATAAACTTTGAAATGAGAGATACAACAAATCACAGTCCATGTGTAAATTAATTTCAAATACGCTTTCTTTTTGTTGTATACCTTTCCCTGCGCGTGCCATTCCAGCCGTGTTTCGCTATGTAACTTGGGCTCCTTAGTACCGCAATTGCTGATGAGCGCCTCTCGTTGCTTTTGTTTTTGTTTGTGGTTCTCATTGCTTATTGATTTACTAATGTTCTGCTTCTGTTAAAAGAGAGAGTGAAAAAAATCAGCCAGAAATGCCAAAAAGTTTCTATTTATTTATTCAAATACTAGATTATGGAAAACGCTCTACTGGAAAAATAGTTAATCTTTTCGTTTTTACAGAACTTTACTTTATTCTGCAAAGAGAATAATTCCTTGAATATAATACATATATGTACATTAGGGTGGTTCTTAAAGGTAGAAAGCAAATTTTATCATCAGATTTCCTAAGCCTCGACTTTAGTAGTATCGATTTTGGGTAGTAAATGAGTAAAATATTTTTAATTTTTTGAGTTCATTGCCTCTGGCCTTTGACCGCTTTGCGACACGCCTTAATCGACTATGACTATGATAGTATCAATATTGGGTATTATATGAAAAAAATTTGGAATCTGAAATTTGCTCCCCGTGCGACACGCCTTAACCGTTTCCAATCGGGACCAAAATTTATATGCGATATCTGTGACCGTGTTATTACCCATTGAGGGGGTGAGACTGATAAAAACCGTTCATTTGATTTTTTAAGGACCACCCTAATGCGCATTTTCATTCCATTGGATTTTTTTAGTTTAATAAAAAGTAGTCTAATTAAATTTAAGATAGTTTAATTTTATATTTACCTTTACTTTTAAAGATGATCTATTAAATAGTACATGGGCACGCCCATTTACTGTGTCAGCGTGACCGTTTTTCGAGGGTTCAATGTAGTATTCATGATTTTTTGTTTTAATGTGACCGACCTGTATTCAAATATAAAAAGTATGTTATCTTTAAAATTCCTTCAAATTTTATTGTAAGTAGTGTATCGCTTGGTCAGAGTGAAAAGTCCACTTTTTAGGAAAATTGGACTTTACGGTGAAGTAAGAAAGGAAAATGAAAAAATATGAAACAATTTTGTATGAAAAAGTTTGCAAAATACCTGGAAAAATTATTTTGGGATATTTTTTCCTCTGCCGTAAAATAAAAAAAAAAACAAAAACGGACTTGGCAGCTGTTCACTCTAAGCTAGTGATATTAAAGTTCAAAAATAAGACAATGCTGCAAATCGTATGATTTGAAAACGGTACGATTTGCAATTATTTATTTGTAAAGAAGGTAATAAATATTTAAAATGGAAACTACGAGAAACACATCATTTACGTCATACCCATCGATTCAGAGCCAAATTTTGCCTTTTTGTTAAGATATCTCCACAGTATTTTTGCCAAATAGCACCGTTTCAAATCGTATGATTTGCACCACACGCTCGAATAATATAAAATAATGTAGCAGCGCATTCAAATAAAAAAACACACACAGAAAAACGAAAGATTTAAGACGCAAACTTGCTTGAGGTTGCTGTAAGCATGCGATCGAAATAAGTTTTACATTAAATTTCGTAGAATTTAAGAACAAATTATGTATTTGAAATTGATTACAATTAAGGAAATATCTTTTCAGATCTAACTCACCAATCCTTCGCATGCGGATATCGCTACATTTGACTCGAAATGCCCTCGCACTTTGCCATGAAAATGACAGTCGGTGCCTTTTATAGCCATTTGACGAGTCCGAATATCTCGTCGATGTCTCTCGATAACCATGTTCGGTGCCATAAAATAACTGTGTGGTCTACGTATTTGGTTTGGTGAATTGCCGAAATGTAAAGACAGGAAAACATACTATCAACGAATATATGTAAATATATGAATGTAAATTTTATTTGCATACATATGTATGTATGTATACAGCGTGGCGACGAATAACTGTTACCCAGGTTTTTTTTTCATAAATAAAAGGGTCCTTTACAAATTTTTCGAAAAAGTATTTTATAAACAATTTTCCACAGATTTTACTTTATTTGTATTAACTAGTTTTTAAGTTTTAATACTTATTTACTTTTGCCAGCAGTGTAAACTTTGATGGAAAAGTTCATTTGGCACGCAAGTCTTTTTCAGGTGTATAAAAAAAGACAAAAAAAAAATAAAAACTGTATAGGGTTGGTCGAATGAATGGCCGTCCTAGTCACCACTCACCAGGGGGAGTATAAGGGACTCAAAATGGAGAAAATTTTGCCTATGGTTACAGAAGATATGGAATAAATTATCTGACGAACTTTTCTCTCAAAGTTTACACTGTTGGCAAATGTAAATAAGGATTAAAATTTACAAACTAATTGATACAACTAAAGTAAAATCTGTGGGAAAATTAGCAATCAAATACTTTTTTCGCAAAATCTATAAAGGACCTTTTTATTTCTCAAAAAAAAAAAAAAAAAAGAGTAACAGTTACTCGTCGCCACGCTGTACATACAAATGTATTTAAGAATGCTATAATTTTTGAAAATAGGCACGCGCTTCACCTTAGCAAATGGTAACATTGAATATTTTAGATTAATTGTATTAATTTCTTACTCTAATTCAAGATGTATAGTCTGATTTTCCACATCCAGTCTGTAGTGTACTTTTTCAATACTTTTAGCTACATTTCGACGACGACGGCTATGTTCAGAGCGATAGTTTTGGTCATGTCGATAGGCCAAATCGTGAGTCAGGAATTCTCCACGTTCGTTAACACGCCTTGGAACGATAAGTGCACCGGATTTGAGTTCGTCAGAATGCAATCCTAATCGGAGGAAATATATGTATACATACTTTTACACTCGTAACACAAACTTAAACATTGAATTTTTCTCTAATTTTCAAAGAGTTATATTTTGCTGTCCTATAATTTAATTAAATAGCATTTTGGGGCTTTACTAAAACATTAGGAGCTATATATGTACATACCAAGGATGCTCTACAAACTATACCTCGTTTTGTTGATGCTTATCAAATAACTTATCAAAATAATTTCGTTTTGTTTCAGCGCTAAATTAAAACGAAACAAAACTCAATTGTTAACATCGAAACAAAATAAATCGAACGAAAAGTTGTTGTTGTTGTATGCCATTGCCAGCTCACTATTAACACCTAGCACCTAAATGCATGCAATAGCTTCAGCATTAACGATTGAATTTCTTTTCGTTAAAAACCAAAATAGAATTATTTTGATAATTACCTAAACGACAAAAAACTGCATCGTTTCAACAGAAAGGATTGCTTTTTTTTTGGTTAACGTTAAAATTTACGTTACAGTGCATCCTTGGTACATAAATGATAACTCAACTTTGACATTTGTGAGTTGTATTGATTCAATTACTTTTACACTTTTTCTGTAAAATAACTAAATAGTTAAATAGGATCGCTTGCATATACATACATACATATGGCGATTATATGCAACATTTAAGAGCCGATCCATTAACTTACCATACAGGACGTCTGCAGCAGAAGTGCCATATATGCACAGCCATTGTAGTATGGAAGGTAAAATGTAGGCGAACAGCTCCATCGTAATTAAAAAAAAAATAAGTCTGAGTCACACTGATACTTGCATCCCTGCGTTTAGTCGAAATTGTCAGTGTAGCTGTAGCTGTTATTGTTGTTGTTGTTTTCTTCTTTTCGATGCCAAATCCACTTTAACCGTTGTCAATAAGAATGTAAACCTTTACATTTAACTTAAACATGGCAACATCGACATTCTTTATTATTTATTTAAATGCTTCAGTTTATATATATAAGCTTTCGTTTTAGTAATGCCAGAAATATGCGCACATAAATTATGATATACATTCATATGTGAATTAAATTAATTTACCTAAAAAATAGCTAAAAGAAAAACGAAAAACAATTATTTTTATATTCGCTTCACTTGAATATGAACATTTTTGAATTAACATACTACATACACATGCATATCTTTACTTTTAGGCATCGGATGGGTTTTCTTGCAATCTCGTTTTTGAAGAATAATCAATTTTAAAGAAATTTTATGAAATAGTAGAAAACACCCTAAATATTTCGTTAATTTTTCTTCTTGCATCTGAAAGCATAAGTATGTGGGATTATTCAATATATACAAAAATATTTTGTAACTCCTGTGGTTTAGGAGTTATGCAAGTTTCAACAGCGGACTGTGGCATTACAATTTTTGGAAGTACTTTTTAAAGTTACTTTATATTATTGAAAAAGTCTGCTCTCCTAATATAAAGTTTTCAAAAGTTGGTACACAGTTTCCTAGCTTCAGGATGGAATTAAAGAACTACGTTTTAATTGAACTGATAAAATTAATGTTAAGGTCAATATTTGTAAAAAAAAAATAGTCGGACTGATACGTTACAGAAAAATACTGTTACTTTAGCGTGTAGCGATAAGATTATAATTAGGTATTTAGTATGTTTTATGCAATAAAAGTAGCATGAATTCAGTAGTCTTGTGATGCGAAAAGTAATTCAAAGTAATGCTCTACAGCTGTAGGTCGTTTCCGAAGTAATTTTCTGCGTATAACTCGAACTCGATCTTAGAACTGCGCCAAGATGTTGAGTTTTTCGCGGTTAATTTCGCGAAAAACGGCTTTAATGGCATTTTGAAGAATAATAGTCGTACTAGAAAAATAGGCGAAATAGTTCCAATACATTTTTTATTATTTAATCCGAAAATCTTCTTCTTCTTTTGGCTTCATATTTCGCTTCTTTTGAGTTCGTTCCTTTTTGAAATAATACAAATATCGCGTTTTTTTATTTTTCTACGTAATTCTTATCTTCTCAGTTTATATAAGTTAGAAAAAATTCCAGGTTTAACTATGGGACAATAACACGTTGAATAGCTTCCAATGTTGCTTGTAAAATGAGCCCGGTCTTTAACTAAATAGGATAAATAGGAAAAAAATGTTACCTGAAAATTAAATTAGTTCAAAAGACTGTTGCGTTACACACCAAACATCACCACCGCATGGCGGTGACGTTGCCGTTGCTTCTCTCTCTCTCTATCAACAGTAAATTTTATATGCTGCTACGTACGTCAACCTACGTTTACGCTACGTCATTGACTAACTGCGCTGTTAGCATAGGATTTTTAGAAAGAATTCAAAGACATCTCAAACCATAACGCAATTGTCCCGAAAAAAGGCATGTGCGCCCTATACAACTGGTGTTGAGTTTATTTTTATTTTTTTTTAACTTTTTGAGCTCAAATGCTTAAAACCAGGGACCGCAACAGTTACAAGTTAAAGCTGGGTTATGCAAGACTTAAAGCCTGATTACGGCAACTTAACTTAACTTAACGGAACGTAGAACTTAGAGAATCAAAATGAAACAGATTTCGACGTGGCATTAAGTTACGTTAAGTTTCAGCTGTTCAATTACAAGCAATACCCATTTAACAGAATTTTTAAGAGAGCCGTAAGTTACGTTAAGTTTCCATAATCAGACCATTAGACTTGACTTACCTAGAAGCTTAGACGCGACTACTAAGCGTGTCACCTATTACCTTTTCTCTTTGTTTTGATTCTCAGCACTTGTATTTGTACACGTAAAATTGCAAACGTTTAATTTGTTTTTACACCAAAATTGATACAAAATTAACATTACAATAAATGCATTTACGCGTATAAAATTGTGGTTATTTTTATTTAATTTTCTGTCTTTATTTGAAAGTTTGTTTTTCGATTGCCAGATGAATTACATTTATACAAAAAATTATATTTGTGTGACATATTTGTAGGGATTTTATTAAAAAATTAAATGGCAGCATAATTTTCTCGTGGCTCTCTTTTCCCTTAGAAATTTAACTTATAATTCAAAACCTATAGTTCTCCAAGTTTCTAAGTGAAGTTGGTTTTTTGGGTAACTACACACACATACACGCGCTGCTCATTTGCCAGATATACAATTTTCAAGTCAAGTCAAAGTCAAAGTCTTGCATAACTGAGCTTTCATACAGCAATAAATAGATTTTAATTATTATGCTTCAATTTCTATTTCAAGGTAATTACGCACATTTTGATACCTTAACTGATTTTCTCCGACAAACAGTTTATTAACTGCAAACAATTGAAAAAGACAATTCCCCGTGAGTTCAAAATTTCGGGAATTTTTTTTTTCGAGATTTTCGAATATCATGACCAAATAAAATAATAGTTGTCTTCTTTTTTTCGATAAAGAATGTAAAAATATATATTTCACCAAAAAAAAAAATATTGAGGTGTAAATATTGTATGGAATGACCCATATGTATCTCTAAATGGAAGTGGTCGAAAAACAAAAAAAAATCACACAATTCAAAACTATCCACAGCACGTAATTGAATTTGAATTTGAATTGAAAAATTGAAAATGCCAACTTGTAAAGGGTTAATAGTTATTCACCATATGACATTATAGTCGGTGTTTAAAAGAGAGAAATGTCAAAATCACTTCTACTTTAAAGTGAAAGTTCATACCATCCATTGCGTCACCGTCACCGCTACCGCCACCATCACAGTCAACGATGCTTATGCGTCAAGTTACAAAATATCCGTTTGTCTTTGGGTCCGTATAATCATGAACTCTCGCTACTCTTTGCAAAATTTCCGTTTTACTTTTGCTTTTCTTCTATTAGATTTTCCACTTTAAATTTTTATTGCAACCACCAAAATGAAACTGGTTTGTTGTTTAATCGGAATTACTCGTTACATGAATTCACATAAATATTGTCTTGAATTCGCCTCGCATTGTATCAAGGACAATTAATACATACAACGTGGTAGCATAAGTATAAAAATCATATGTACATATGTATGTATGAATGCGCCTTTTTTCACAAATCTATGGTCTCTTTTTCGCCGAAAAAGTATGAAATGCTTCCAAGTATGCAAAAATATGCACGTAAATCGAATATACATATGCGAAAACCACCAACAAAATTGCCAAAAATATGCAAAATAAGCCTTTTCAAGCCCTGGTTATAACTACGGTGACCATAAATATATTTTGAAAATGCAGGACAATTTTTCAAAAAATTTACCTACATATAATTGCGTAGTATAAAAATAACAAAAATATACTACATATATACATTCCTCATCATTTGAATAGCGCACCCTTTTTTTGATTTTCTTCCATACAAAGTATGCTTGACAAAATTTTTATATGGAAGAAAATGCGTAGCACCGTCAACAAAAAAAATTGTCGCCCCTATGTTTTTTTTTTTAATCTAAAAAATTTTTTAAAATGGGATGTAGACGTAGAATATGCTATATCATATATATATAAATAGGCAATCATGTTTCCTTTACACCCCTTTTACGGCTAAACTATACTTCTAAGGTATAAACAGTTATATATCATTAGAAAGGTATTTTGATGCTGATGTGCAGGCAATTTTTAAAATTTCAAATCAGTTTAAAATAGAGCGACAAAATCAATTCAAAAGTCACACCAATACCAATGCACACATGTACATGGTTGGGGCGGAAATGCCCCCTAAATGTATGCTTTAATATTGATAGCGAATTAAAGAAACGTGCTAAGCAGCAGTTCAGGAATAAAAGGTATGTATGTATGTACATGAATAGATTAGACTCAAACAAGGAACAAGGTAAAGTTGAGTATGGAGAAGAAGAAAGTGATAAATACAGAAATTAAAATAAAAGTAAAGAAACCTAGATATAAAGACAAAGAGGAAGGAAAATTTAAATACCTAACCTAATAACAATGGTGGGGGTGAATATGTAAATGAAGAAAAGAATGGACATATTTAGATCAGGATAAAGGAAAAGATAAAGATGAAGACCAAGACGACGAAGATGAAGATGAAGATGAAGATGAAGATGAAGATGAAGATGAAGA